GACCAAGGCGCGCGCGCGGACCACGTCGCGCGCGCGGACCAAGGCGCGCGCGCCGCGCGTGGAGCAAGGCGCGCGCGCCGCGCGTGGACCAAGGCGCGCGCGCGGACCAAGGCGCGCGCGCGGACCAAGGCGCGTGTGGCTTCGTGTGGCCGCTGGGTCAACCCTTTGGCTACAATCTGCAGTCGCTTGGGTGACTATTGTTGAGACGAGTCAAGATAAAAAATATCAGTCATTCCCTCTATACACCTCTCAACCCACAGGTGCTGGCCCTGGCGTCTACGTGCTACAAGGTGCAATCGCTTGGGTGACGATTGAGTGGACTCAAGATAAAATAATCATCTCCCCCCTTGTTCCGTCCTGTCACCCCCCACAGGTGCTGGCGCTGGCGTCTACATCGTACAAGGTGCAGTCGCTCGCACTCTCCCCCGTGCCCTCCCCCGCCCTCCCCGACAATCCCCGTGGCACAGCACCAGGATCAGCAGCAGCAGGCGGAGGCGGAAGAGGAGGAGCGGGAGCAGGAGGGGTGGAGGGGAAGGCAGGGGGGAAGGGCAGCAGGGCGGGGGTGACGGCATTAGAGAGCAGTGCACCGCCGCTGGGAGGGGGGCAGTGGAGCAGACTGCAGATGGAGCTGTTGAGTGACATGCTTGCTGTTGCTGTGCGCGCCGGTGAACCCCTCGCTGCCTGGGCTGCTGCTGCTCGCCTGCTAAGAGGATTCTACCCGCTCGTCCTGCCACAGAGCCAGGTGAGGCCCTCTTGACGGCATGAGAGAGCAGTGCACCGCCGCTGGGAGGGGGGCAGTGGAGCAGGCTGCAGATGGAGCACTTGAGTGACATGCTGGCTGTTGCTGTGCGCACCTGGGAGCCCCTCGCTGCCTGGGCTGCTGCTGCCCGCCTGCTGCGCGGATTCTACCCTCTCATCCTGCCACAGAGCCAGGTGGGGCTATCTTGACTGCTACGTTCTGAGCAGTGAGCAGATTTCCGCCCTTGTTCTCCTTATCTACTCAATCATCTCTCCCTCGCCTCGCTCTCACCTTATCTTCTTGAGCACCTGCCCCCTTCCTTCATGCACCTTCTTCCCTCCCACCAGGAATCGTTGGCTCAAGCGCTCACATCGGCCAGTGAGAGGCTGCCAGCTGGCACCCGCTGCCCAGACCTTGCTCTTCCCTTCGTCAGGTAGTGCTGAGGGGGTTAGTTGGTCGAGGAAAGTTGGATTCACAAGAGCTCCGTTTCTCCTTCACACTTCCGCTCATCTCCCCTTCTAATTCCTGTATTTTGTTTTTCACATCCAAGAGAAAGGTTTTATGAACCCTGAGCACCCTGCTTGTGCCCCATCCCTCCCTCCCCAGGTTCCATGCGTTCGCAACAGCCCCCCAGCAGACCCAGGTCGTGAAGCGCACGCGAGGCAAGCGCGACTGGTGGGTGGGGGCGGGCGGGGGGGGGCCGTTCATATACACGCCGTTCACCACGCGGGCGGCCAACGTGAAGCCCGACATGGTGTGGATCGTGGGCGAGGTGGCTCAAGTCATCATCGAGCTCTCCAACCCCTGCGCCTGCGCTGTGGACATAGAATCCATCTACCTGAATGTGGATGGGGACTTTCAGCCCTTCCCCGCGTCGCTCTCTCTGCGCCCGAATACCTACTCTCATCTGCTTACGCTCTCTGGCTTGCCGCGGTCGCCGGGGGTGATTACGGTTCTGGGCTGTTTCCTGCAGTCGTTTGGGGTGCTTACCGACCATCGATTCGCCGACACGACGATCACGACTGTTGCTGCGGCGGCAGGGAGTGCGGGATCGGGAGCGGGGCTGCCGTTGATTCCCGGCGTGGGCCTGGTGGATCCTTTTTCGCCCGCTGCTGCTGCGTCTGTGGCTGCTAATTCCGCTGCAGCAGCTGCTACAGCCACCCCTCTCTCCGCTCCCACTATCTCTGCTACCTCCTCCCTCTCTGCAGCGGCAGCGAGTGTCGACACTGCGGTTAAGAGCGGTGCCAGCGCTGGGCGGGGATTCTTGGCCTCTTCTCCCATCCCGTCCACCTCCGTCCTGCCCGTGCTCGATATTTCTGTGCTGCCCGAGCTTCCGCTATTGGTCGCAACGGCGGAGGACGGCGACGGGGCAGCCGCGGTTCTTTTCGACGGGGAGGTCCGGGAAATATCGGTCAAGCTGGTAAATTCCAGCCGGGTACCTGTAGTAGACGCATTCGTTTCCGTTGCAGGCAGGCAGAAGCGGCACCTGATTGTTCTCGGGCAGGAAAAACTCGCAGCAGCGCTGCCCCTGCTTCCGGGGGCTGCAGTCACCCTGCCCGTGAAAATCGTGGCACAGTTCCAGCCAGAGAGTTCGGAGGACGACGAGGATGATGTGGGAGGGGGGGAGGGCGGAGGGGGGGCAGAGCAGAGCACGAGCAGCAAGGAGGAAGACACAGTGAACCTGGTCGTGCATTACGCAGGCCCCGACAAAGACCCCGAGAGTGATCCCGCCACCCCAGCAGCACCAACCCCTGCCTCCAAATCCGGAGCTACCAGTAAGGAGAAGGAGAAGGAGAAGGGGAAGGACGATGCAGTGCCCGGGCGGCGGCTGTCGTTCCCCATCAACCTGTGTGTGCGCCGTGGCCTGTCCCTTGTGCGTGCCCGTCTGCTCGTCACGGGAGGCGTCACTCCCGCCGTGCAGTCCGATGGGGGAGTCGCCACCACCTCTGCTGCCGGTGGCGGTGCCGCTGCTGGTGCTACTGCCGGTGGTGGTGCTTCTGGTCGCGGTGGTGGGGCTGGGGCCGGCTTGACGTGGGGTTCCCAGGCGAAAGGAGCGGGAGCAGGGGGAGGAGGGGCGGGAGTGAGGAAGGCAGTGGGAGAGATGGAGGTGCCGGTGAGGCAGGCCAAGGGACTGCGGCTGCTGGATCTGGAGGTGTGGAACGGCACTGACTCTGCCTTTGATGTCTCCGTGCTCGTTGACCCCCCCGCCCCCCACGACCAACCCAGCATCCCTGCTGCTGCTACTGCCCCTGCTGCTGGTGCACCTGCCACTGGCGCAGCTGCAGGAGGAGCAACAAACGCATCCCCAGCAGCATCAGCGGCAGCTTCGGCATCATCAGGGTCCCTGCTAGCGGCCAGTCTGCTCCCCCCGGCATCCAACCTGCAGGCCTCTCTAGAGGAAGCTTCCCTCCTCGCGTCGGGCGGCTCTGTCTCGCACTCCCGCATCGGACGCGACTGCGCCGCCCGGCTCCTCATCCCGCTCGGCGGATTTGATTCCCTCCTGGGCTCCAAGGCGGAGGCCGCCCTGGCAGTACTCCACCACGAGGAGCAGACGGGCGGCGACACCACTGTGCGGCGCCAGCTGGCACTGGGCCTCGGGCCGATCCCGTCCCCGTTCACAACGATCATCAATGCGATCTGCTCGCGGGTGAAGGTGCGGTGGCTGTCGGCACGGAATTGCCGCGGGGAGGTGAGGATTAGAGAGGCGGTGAGGGCGGTGGTGGAGAGTCAAGCCGTGGCGGTGCTGCTGCCTGACCCCCTGGCGTTCTCCTTCCGAGTCACTGCGCCCCCTCTCACTGCTGCTGCTGGGGATGGCGGTGCTGTGGGTGGTGGCGGTGCTGGTGGGGGTGGCAGTGAGCAGAGGGAAACGGCAGGGCCTGTGGCTGGTGATGGTGGTGCTGCAAGGGATGGAGGGAGTGGAGGAGGAGGGGCTGGGAATGCAGAGGGGCCAACGGCCGGAGGGAGTGGAGGAGGTGGGGCGGGGTTCAGTGTGACGAGTGCGTTGGAGTTCACAACAGTGGAGCTGACAGTGACCAATCAGAGCAAGGGCAAGCTGGCTGTGAGCGTGAGCGTGACGTGTCGCGACGTGACTGGCGAGACGTGCGTGGGGGAGGCCACTCAGAAGCAGCACGTCATGTGGGCAGGTGGGTTGTACATACTGCACTGCTTCTGCATTCCACTCCATTCAACTGCCCATTCTCCATGCTCTCCTGCACACGACCATGCAGCTGCCTGTGTGCATTGCCACGTGCTCTGCATCACATCCCCGTGCTGCTTCCACACACACACACTCCCCACCCACTCCTTCCCATCCGTCCCACCCACGCACACCCCACCTCACAGGCACACTAAACGGCATCGATGCCACGTTGGACCCTGGCCAGTCGCTGCACCACAAGCTGAGCCTGTGCTTCCTCGTGCCCGGCGAGTACACACTCTTCGCAGCAGCAGTGGTGGACAACCAGGGCCCCTCGCCCACCTCGCTCCTCGCCTCACACGCACAGCTAGCGGGGCGAGCGGGGCACACGCAGAACCCCAACCCATGGTGGGCCGTGCTGGATGCTAGCCGGCGCCCGCAGACCATCTGCTGCACCAGCCTGCCGCATGCCATCACTGTGCTCGGCGCTGCGTAGGGCGGGCTTGTAGTAACATGTATGTCATGGTTTCTGAGGCACCTCAAAAGTCGCCCGCAGACCGTCTGCTGAACCAGTCTGCCGCATTTTTGGTGCCGCTTAGGGCAGGCTTGTAAGATGATGTACGGTATGAGTTGATGTGAGAACTTTGTTATTTGAGCACATTGGTGGTGAGCTTCATCCACAAACAACCCCACCGTTTTATTGAAGGTCTTGAAACAACATGCAAAGATGCCCAGTGACAGCATTTTCCCGTGGATTGTCGGGAGAGAGGGCATTCTAGCCCATACGCATGCAGACACAGGTGATAGTGGGCATTCCTCCTTGGTGAATCGGACTGAGGAAGACATACTGCACCAACTTTTTATTACCAGAGGCAGCTACAGCTGTTGACATGACATACGGTAGACCAGTTCTCTGCACGCAGGCGCAGCTTAGCACCATGGCGCCACTGTAGCAAATTGTCTAAGTGGCAGTGGAGTGGATGCAGCTGGCTGACCGTAGTACAGCTAGGACCGGTTCATTCCCAGTGCACTGATATGAGGCCGTAGGAACACGCTCTAACATCACAGTTGCCCTTGCGAGGAACACGATACAATCAGTACGAGTGGACGCGGCGCACACGCCCCTCACAGCCACCTCAAGCTGAGCATGCCTGCACACGGAGGGAACAGAGAGCAACAAGGGGTTGTTGTGCTTTCAAACTGGCGCTTCACAGACCAAAACATCGCAAGACACATGACAGCAGGGGCAACACAAGTCATACGTGCATCAACTCGCCACGCCGAACGAAACCAACAGCAGGCCAGCAGCTGGGGACATGAACAGCACACCAACATTGGCCTCACATTGTACCTGCCGCAGTGACGGCACGTTGAACTTGCCGAGGCGACACTCGCGTCAAGTGGCAGGGGCGCTCATGCGCGGCCCCATGAAGGTCATGAAGAGCTCGCGGAAGAGCTGCCGGTTCTTCTCCTGCTCCTCCACAAACCGCTTCTGCCACTCCTCGTTGCTCTCCCTCACCACTCGAATCACCTCGTCCAGCTTCTGCTCCAATGCACTGCTACTTATACCGCCCCCACCACCACCAGTCGTAACACCTGCCAAGCTCCCTCCATTCGTGCTGGCCTGCCCGCCGAATGCACTACCTGGGAAAGGCATCCCCCCTGGTATGTTCCCCGGGGTGGGAAAGCCGTCCTGCCCCATGCTGCCGTCCCCTGCCGGACTCACCAGCTGCCCCCAGAACCCTCCTTGCGGGACAGCCGCGCCCGCTGCTCCGCCGCCCCCGTTTCCACCACCAGCTCCGCCGCCGCCGCCACTGCCGCCACCCGCGCCCAGATTCCCCGGAGGTCCTGCGCCCTGGGGGGAGAGCAGGGCAGCGGAAACGCCTCCCGGAGGCGCCACCCCGGGGGGAGCAGGCGGGCGGAAGCTGGAAGAGGTGGCGGAGAAGCTGTGGGGGAAGACGCCTGGCGCGAAGAAAGTGCCGGGGGGGAAGAAGCCGGGGGGCGGAGGCGGTAAGAAGCCTGGAGGGGATGTGAGGATGTGCGGGGGAGGCGGCATGGCGCCGTTAATTGCGCCGTTCATGGCGCCAGGATTGACGATGCCGACCAGCCCAGTCGCAGAGCTGTTCGCAGCGCCGTTCGCAGCCTCGCTTCGCATCGCGTTCTCACCGCCCGCCCCACTCGCACCGCCTGCGCCTGTCGCATTCGGCTGGCTGTTCACCGACGCGCTAGGCGGCAGCAGCATGGAATTGCTCCCGCCCGCCCCTTTTGTCGTTTTCCAGCCCGTACCGTCTGCGACGGACTGTCTGCGGACGAGCCCTTCGCCAGGCGCGTCGCTTCGCGAAGGGCTGTCGCGAGGGGAGGAGGGGGGGCTAGGGCTGTCTGGGAGAAGGCTTTCGGCGCACGGAAAACAACCGAGCGACTCGCTCAAGTAACGGTCGATCCACTTGAACCACTTGGGCTTCAGCACCAGGTGCGCGTTTGCTCCTTCCCCGTTCTCCGCCGACGCGTCGCCCGGCTCGCGCTCCCTCACACGCTCCTTAATAACCCTATACTTCCGCTCCATTCGGTGCAGTTTCAACTTAATCGCCTCGAACGGCCGGTCGAACGACGGCTCCTTAGTCGACCTAATGTATTCTTTCAGCCGTCCGTAGAAGCTCCCTTGCTGCCCAGCTGGCCGCTTCTTATACTCGTCGTGGAGTTCGAACCGCGCGCGGGCTACTAAAACCTGCTCGCGCTCGCTCCACCGCTCGTAATCTTTTGTCGAAGCTTCTTTCGCCGGGGCACCGCCATCCCCATTTGCGTCTGCTGCTGCACCTGCTGCTCCTCCTGACAGGTCCCCATCTTTCAATCCCCCTTTCTTGCGTGACCCCTTCTTCTTCTTCACGTTTAATTCCGTATCTTGTTCCAGCGAGTCTTCAGCCGCCAAAGCTGCCTCCGAATCTCTCTTCCGTTTCGCTGACGGCGTTCTGTCAAGTTGCTGTAATTGCGATCCGTCCAGTCCGTCAGACGGGCTTTCCGGTGGGGGAGGATACGCCGGCTGAATCGGTCCGACCGTCTGCGAAAACGGTCTGAAAGACGACGGAAGCGTTTGCTGATCCGAACCATCCGGGCGTCCACCGTCTCTCCATGCTTCTCTCGCCGCCTGCCTCTCCTCCTCCATCTTCTCCTCCATGTAAAGACTCAGCCATTTCCACCACAGCGGCTTCTGAACGGCAACGGCACCAGGTTGCGCTTCCTGCTCGAGAATATCCCGATACACAGTGGATTTTAACCTTCACCGCGTCGACGGGTCGATCCCAGGCAGGATCCCAAGATTTCACCTGAGCCCACACTTTCAGCCAGAAACTGGAGCCCTGCTTCCCTACGAGCTCCTTATAATCGCCTCTTAACTCGTATCTCGCCTTAGCGATTAGTTCCTCCTCGTCCTCGGACCAGCGGTAACCTGGCGCGTCACGACTAGACCGTGTGCTAGAGGATTTCTCATACGCAGGAGGACCGGGATTGTTTTCTGATATTGGAAGGTTGTTCCCATGTCCACCGACTCTTCCGTCTGAACCCGACATGTCTGCACTGCAACCCGCAAGTACTTGCTGGTGAGAAAAAGCGACTGAACGACGGACGGCTGGGGTGCTACTGTGAAACGAGGGGTTCGTTCGTTCTACTGCAGGCTATGGCGTGGCGAGATGAAGCGGAAAGGGATGTGTTGCTGACTGCTGCGATGAAACCCTAGAAAGCGTCTGCTTGCACAAGAACCCCAAGCGAGGAGGTGGTGGTGGTGTGCCTGAGCGCGGAGTGAGCAGGCAAGGGCGTTGGAGGGCCGAAAGGCTGATGTGGTGAAACCCTCACACGATACGGGCTGGGTACGAATGAACGGTCGGATTCTCTGGATCTTGTTGCTGGGGGAATCTGTGTGTGGAGAACGGTGAGGGTGGGGGTATGGGGTCAAGCCAAGGTCGAAGCGGATTGGCTGATTGCTTGGCAGGAGGTGGTTCGTCCGCTAGGCTCCAGGGTGGCTTTGATGAGAGGAGGCGTACGGTCCTTCAGTGGTTTTGGGGGCACTGACGTGTCGGTTCGATATCTCCAACCCCGTACACATGCTTTGAAGTTTGCATTGCGAGAACGTGTATAGCGTATTGCATGGTGTATATTAGTGTGTGCTTCCAATGAAGATAAAACTTGTTCTTGTGAACATAAGTTGCTCTTTATACAGAAACATGAAGCACATCGATTTCCCAGAAGTGTCTGCTCGACCCATGTCAGCCAACTTATCTTTTAGATTTTCGTTTCACTCTGATCGTTCCGTTTTGTACCTCGCTCACGAATCGCAAAAGCCTCTCCTAGCACCTTAGGAATCTTCGCCGCATATTTGCGCACCATCCGCCATGTTCAAGAAGTCGAGCAAGCCGAAGAACGTGCGGAAGCGGCAGCTGCTGAGCGAGGACCAGGACCGGGACAGCAGCAGCAGCGGCGGGGGCGACGAGGACGCGTCAGCAGGCGGGAATGGCCCGCCTAAGTCGAAGAGTGCGCGCCGAGCCGAGGGCAAGCTCGCCTTCAGCTCCGCCTCCTCTCAGCAGCGCGCAGCGCGCGCCGCAGCGGCGGAAGCGGGGGCGGACGGCGCCGCGGAGGGTCCCGCGAAGCCAGCAGTCAGCTTCGCGTACGAGTCGGACCGACGCGTGCAGGTAAAGGGCGTGCCTCGAGACGCGCTAGTTTTGAGGTCTGTTCACGTCCATGGATTGTGCCCCTGGCATCGTGGACCTGAATTCCCCCCCCTATCATCCAGCTCTCCCGCTAGAATCGTAGACCTCAATTCCCTCCCTTCCCTTCCCCTTGTGCGCCCGACGGACAGCTGCGCTAAGGCACTTTTGAATTCTCAACAGCTTTTCCTCCCTTCCCTTTCCCCTCATCTTTCCTCTCCTTCCCCTGCAGATGGCATCGGACAGCCGTGCGACGGCGACAATAGAGACGGAGACGGAGTTTGACCGCGACTCGCGCGCCATCCGCGAGAAGGTGCTGAAGCAGGCGGAGGAGGCGCTCAAGGGCAGGGCGCGCGAGGGGGGTTCCGCTGCTGCTGGCCCCGCAGGCCCGCCGGGGAGCAAGAAGGAGGTTTACAAGGGCATGGCTGGGTGAGTTTAGCTGGTGTGTTAGGGCATGGCGTGGGATGACATGGCATGGGAGAGAGCATACAGTTGGTGGAATGAGCATGGTAATTCGTACATTCAGTCTTTGTTGTGTCGCCTCACCATCCCCTCGTCTCCATCCACTGGCTCCTCCCCTCCCTCCTCTCACACAACTCCCCAGCTACGCAGACCACACGGCAGGCTTCAGGCGAGAGCACACAGTGGCGAGTGAGAAGGCAACGGGTGCACACGGGCCCCTGCGTGCCTCCACACACATCCGATGGTCCGTGCGGTTTGACTACCAGCCGGACCTCTGTAAAGACTATAAAGAGACTGGCTATTGCGGGTACGGGGACTCGTGCAAGTTTTTGCATGATCGTGGAGATTACAAGGCGGGGTGGCAGATTGAGAGGGAGTGGCAGGAGAAGGAGAAGAGGAGGAAAGAGGCGGCTGCACTGGGGATGTTGGAGGAAGGGGATGGGGGAGAAGGGGAGGAGGAGGAAGATGATGATGACGATCTGCCGTTTGCGTGCTTCATCTGTCGGCAGTCGTTTGTGGATCCGGTGGTTACGAAGTGCCGGCATTACTTCTGCGAGCACTGCGCCCTCAAGGTGAGATAATGCGAGATTTTATTTGCTGAGTAAGCAGCGACTTGTTTTCCATACAGACTCTTCGCAGCCAACTCATCCTGATCATTTTCCACTTGCCTTTTCCCACGCCCACATGGACCTGTTGGCAGCACCACTCGCGCAACAAGAACTGCTTTGTGTGCGAGCAGCCGACCCAGGGTGTGTTCAACACGGCACATGACATCATCAAGCGTGTGAAAGAGCGGGCTGCCAAGGAGGCCAAGGACAAGGAGGAGGTTGCCAAGGGAGCGGGGAGCTCCAGACCAGAAGCTGCTGGTGGTGATGGTGGGGATAGTGAATGATGGTTGACAAAAACATGAAAGGGTTTTTTGCTTGCACAAGAGATGCAATTCCTTGTTGAAGGAAATTGCTGGTTGAGAAGTTTGTAGAAAGCCTTAATCACAAAGAGAGGTATTTGCGCTGTTTGATCAACAGAAGGATGGCTGCATTCACATAAAATCTAGTTAAAATTGTAGTCCTGCTGTAGCGTGGACAGTGTACTTCCACATTGAGCTGGTCAAGTATTCGGTTGAATTTTAGTAGAGAAGCTCTTACAGGGTACACCCCAATCTCAGGGGCACGGCTGGCAACGGACCCAAGGATTAATCAGAGCCGAGCCACATTGCTGGTTGCCTATCTCCTCGGCACTCGCGCGACCAGCCTGTCAGAAGCAGGACAGGCATCCCCTTGATTGTAGGATTCTTTCTCCGTAGACCGGCCTCCATACAGTTCCATGGAGGTTCTCCGCGTCGCTCGTCCTCACGCCAGCCTGATCGGCCCGTCCCTGCATTCGTCGACCGCTCGACCGACGCCCTCTCGAGCCTCTCGACCGTCTGACTTCTCTCTCCCGCGCGCTCTCACGAGAACGTTACCGCGAGTCACGTGTGGCGTACAGGAACCAGGGGTAGTGAAACATGCAGCTTCCGCAAATTCAGGCGGATTTTCTGCAGCCGACGAGATCGCAAGTGTAGAAGCCGGTGTTACGCCGACCAGGCTTGATAGACGAGCGTTCGTGGCAACTTCGCTCATTTTTTCTCTGTCGTTGAATGTCCAGAACGCTTTTTCTGAAGGTATTGTTTCAATGCCACCAATGATGGTTTTCGTGCTGACCGTTGCAGCATAGAAGCACACGCAAGGCTTGTCACAGCGTTTGGCACAAGACGCCCTGGTTACTCACCGCACACTATCGTCACTTACCCATTGTCACCATATCCCATGCCTACGCCGCTCCCATACTCCAGAGAACCTGCAAGCAGAGGAACCCCAAGCAGAGGGTCTTCGGCAGTACGAGGACGAGGCGAGGCGGTTCTCCATCCGGGTGCCGGCGGCGTGGGAGCAGCGCGACAAGGCGGGCGCGACGGCGCTCTTCGCGAACCCCGAGCGGCGCGGCGACACCCTGGGCGTGGTGGTGAACCCCGTGCGCGTGCGATCCCTGCGCGACTTTGGTGACATTGACTACGTGGCGACCAGACTGCTGGACGCAGAGCGACGCAAGGTGCGGCTTCAGGCTTCATGTTGATGTGCAGAGTCTGAAATGAGCTTGAATGAGCTAAATTGAGCTCATTACAGACTTCGGCAACATTGACTTGGTGGTGACCAGACTGCTGGACGCGGAGCGAGCGACGCAAGGTGAGGCTTCAGGTTTAATGGCTGAGTCTTGGAATGTGGGCTCTCAGAGGACCTCATATCAGACTGTGGCGACATTGACCTAATGGGCTGTACATTAAGATTAATGGCTTCATCCTCATTCACTTACCTTTTTGTTTGTCTTCCCCCTTTCCTGGCACATTCCCTCCTGGTAACCTCGTTGTAACCACGTGGTAACCACGTGCAGGAGAGCACCAAGAGCGCGGAGATCTTGTCGCAGAGAGTGAAAGAGCTAGCGGGAGGTATCCCGCTGTACCAGATAGAGTACGCACTCGCCAGCACCAGAGGCAGCAAGCGGATACTAACGGCAGTGACTATAGCAGATAGGAAGCTGTACATTGTGAACATTGCAGTGGCGGATTCGGAGAGTGAGCCCGTGGATCTCGCCACCCTGGGAATGCTCCGCAGAGCTCTGGACTCGTTTGCCCTTCTGAGCTGAGGAATCTGGTGATGCTGTATCGTGTCTTGTGCTCTTGTGTTCCCTGACTGCAAGCGAAAGAAGGCATGCAGGAAAATTCTCGCCTGCTCCCGACTAATGCGTGCCACACGATGCCATGCCATGTGCATTGAAACGAATCCCTGGACCATGAGGGGTAACCAGAAGTGGAATCGTAGGGCCCTGGCCTGGCATGTGCTGGCATGTTCTCAGGCAAGCTGGTGTGGTGGTATGGCTGGCAGCAAACCACAACACACACTTTCGCTTCGTGCTGTTTCCTTGATAATCCCTGTCATGTTGGAGGCAGCAGGATACATGCCAATACTGTATGTCACTCACCTCAACACCATGGGTAGAATGCTCTGCAGAGCTCTGGATTGGTTTGCCCTGCTCAACTGAGAAACATGTTGACGCTGTATTGTCTTGTGCACTTGTGTGCCTGACTGTAACCGGACGCATTCAGGGTAATGGCTGGTGCACCACATGGTGCATATTGGAAACCTCTTCCTGAACCAGAGCGAATTACCATGAGAGGAGTCATGGTAGCATTCCTACACAGCATGGGAGCAATGCACGCTCAGGTTATGCTCCTGCTGTTTACCGGTCTTCAAGGATCCCTCCCTCCTCTCCCTTCTCGTGCTGCATTATAGTACTTGGCAAAATGCCACTCACTAGAGCCATGGGCGAGATGTTACGGCAGGGCCACAGCATGTTTCACTCACGGTAATTGCAACACACACAGCATGTCATTTGAAACAAGCTCTACAATGACAATACCTAGGTAGTCCTAGGGTGGAGACAGCTTGAGCATCACTGAGCCGCATGAAAGAGGTCCCTGCTGTCGTCTTCAGCTGCACTTGACACATCTCCCTTCTCTTGCCCAGCAGATGCAGCACCGCTGGCACCACCAGAGCCAGCACCTGAATTCATGCCGGCACCATTATCGCGAGCCTCGGCCCAGGACTCGGACCTCTTTACAAGCACGTTCTCCTCCCCCAGGCCCCCATAGAGCCCCTGCTGCTTGGGTGATTTCACCCTCTCCATGTACCACTTCATTCTGTCCGCCACACTCACCTTGCTGCTTGGTGATGCTACCGATGGCGACGGGCGGGCAGAAGGGGTTGGAGATGATACTGCCTGCAGTGCTGGTGATGGTGATGCTGCTGATGAAAACCCTGATTGGTTCGACTGCACTGCTGCTGATGTGGACACTGACGTGGATGCTGACGTGGATCCTGGCGAGCCACCACCCGCAGCAGTGTTCTTGGTGCGCACTCGTGGAATCACCACGGTCTGCACGAGAGAGTCGAAGCGACCCATGAGGCTGCCCCCTTCCTTCACCCCCACAGGCCCCGGCTCCGCCCCCACATGGGCCCCGTCTGAGAACCCCACCACCTCCACCAGCAGCCCGCCCTGCTCGTCTCGGAACTTCACCCGCGCTCTCCTCGCTCTAGACGCCGCCTCACTCGTTGACAAAGCAGCGTGAGGCTTGCTTGAGCCGCCCGCTGCTGCTGCTGCTGCTGCTGCTGAAGGCGCTCCTGCTTTGTGTTTTTTCCCAGTTGGCTCCAGCTCGACAGCCTTCCCATTCCTCCCTTCACCTGCTTGATCGGCCCCCCTCTCATCACCGCCCTTCCCTCCTTCTGCTGCTGCTTCCACCTCCCCTCCCTCCTCCCCCCCTCCTTCTTCCCTCTTTCTCTTCCTCTCTCTCTCCACGGCTCGTCTGGACGGACCAGCGCCGGTATTCCCAAGGTTGTAATCCCCAGCGGGCAACCCAAGCAGATTCAGCACCATGTTGTACTGTGCAACTGCCTCTGGGTCGCCCTTATCCGGGGGAGGTGGCAACTGCTGCTGCTCCTGCTGATGTTCTCTCGCTCCCGGCCAGGCTGTAATTGCGGCTGTAGCCGCGAAATGCGCTTCGTCTGAACTGGCAAGATCAGTAGCTGCTGCTGCAGATGGCAACGATGATGGCGGTGGGGGTTGCGGGATTGCCTTACGCAGCACGTACGTGCGTGTGGAGGCAGCAAAGCGCAGGGATTGGCCGGGCTCTATTTCAACAGGAATATCCTTTAAGAGCCGCTCGTTAGAGACATAAGTGCCGTGAACCGAGCTGCGAACAGGGAAAAAACAGGAGTGTTAAAGCATGCTGAAGGGGTTCAGAACGGTGCAGTACAGTACGCACCCCAGGTCAATGACAAAGACGCTGTCGTTCTTCCTGTGCACCACTGCAGCGTGCTGGCGGGAGAGGGAGGGATGCTCCAGCACATAGTCGCACGTGGTGGTTTGCCGCCCAAACAGAGACCGCTTCTTGTCCAATGGTATGCTGCCAGCTGAGACTCCATCCTGCCGCATTACACAAACGAACACATCCGAGACAAGAACACAATATAATTCACACCCCAAACAGGATGGTATCCCTCCCAGTGGATTGTCATTTTGAGTTTCACATTCCGAATCGAAAGTACTTGATTCTCTGGATGCTGCCTCTATCGCTAAAGGAGAATATTCACCTTGAGAATTTCCAGCGAGTACACGCCTGGTTTTGGAACCACAGCCCACTCCGGAGGCTGCCACGTGGAGGATCCTCCGCCAATGGTGATCGCAACTACTTGCTCCTGCTCCTGCTGCTGTTGCGGCTGCTGCTGTTGCTGCTGCTTCTGCTGCTGCTTCTGCTGCTGCTGCTGCTGCTGATTCGCATGCGTCTGTGCGGCATGTTCCTGCGATTTGGTAACAGGCGATCGGATGGGCTGAGTTGACGAGGCATAGATGACGGTACCTGTCGCACGGCCTGCTGCGACAGCCGTTGTCTGCGACGCAACGGACGACTTTTCGGGAACGGCTCCGCGAGTCTCCCCAATTCCGAAAGGGTCTGACGACTGCGCTTTCTTAAACCGGTCGAGATTAAATCGGTTGAACATGACCGTCGCTTGGATCGTAGTGCGCGGCGAGGCACTGGCCAGAATATAGCCAAAGATAAAAGCACCAAGAAGCAGGGAAAGGTATTCTGCAAGGTTCAGGCAAACTATGGCTGGAACAATTCTTGCTGGAGCATGTTCAGCCGAGAAGCGTGGTTTGGAGAAACAATTCTCAAGGAACACTCGGCTATACGCGTTAAAGAAAATATCAACGTGTATGTTATCAGAGAAATGTATTTATCAGCTTCCACACAACAGCTCACTTCTGTTTGGATCACATGTTAGCGGTGATCCCTTGAGTTCATCTCCCCTCTCCTGGGAAAGCCGAGCTTGCGAACTCAACAAAATGATCCCAGAATGCCATTCCCATTCCCACTGCATTCCATAATCGCCTGACAGCCTCTCCGTATCGCCTCGCCGTCGCCTCGTCACCTTGATGTGGACGGGGTCTGCAGCCAGCAGCTGCGTCGCGGTAGCGCGATTCAGTGTCCCGCTCACCCCGCTCCGTTCGCTTAGCTCGCTTCGATCGCTTAGCCAACTTAGGTCCCGCTGTGTCGTGGCGGCCATATCGTCACCTCGCACGTTCGACGGCGGTGTGTGCCTCGATAACCGTCCCTCTTCGGTGGCGAATTCACCCGCATTAGCGCGTACGGTCCCTATGGCTGTCCACGTCAGCGCGCATCGTCCGTTGGTCGGCGTCAGCAGCGGCCTTAACGCTCATCGGCGCGCTTTCAGCGTGCGAATCCCCGTTAGTAGCTCTTCCTCGTCTGCATTAATCGGGAACGGCGGGATTTTGCGGGGTGTGGCCGGCAATGGTCGCGAAATGGTCGACAGAAACGGCGGATTTCGACGTGCGATGCTGATCGCGGCGTCATTGATGGGAGGCGGAGCTGCTGCTGCTGGCGCCGCTGCTGCTGATGCCGCCGCTACCTCCAATGGGGCCATGGCAGAAGGTGAGCGATCACACAGGACGGCTATCCCACGGCCTTGTGTGCGTCTCATTCAACCATACACGCGTGCAAGTGAGCACAGGTGCCATGTCGCTTTCCGCCGACTCCAATTCCCACCCTCAACCCCCTCCTCTTCAACCCGCTTCCTCCCACCCTGCCCCCCCTCCCCTTCCGTGCTCTTCCACTGCTCATTTCCCATCCGCCTCCAGATCTCACCGTTTCAGCTGGACCCACGTTGGCGTCTGCAACAGAATCTGACTCAGAATCGGATCTTAACTCAGGATACGCTCTGCCGCCAGCCGAGATCCTGTCCATCGTGGATGCGCCGCCCAATCCCGCGCTGTCGTTTAGCCCGAAGCGGGAGAGAGTGCTGTTCATGCACCGACCCTCGCTGCCGCCCATTTCCGAGCTGGCTCGGCCGGAGCTGAAGCTGGCTGGGGTGAGGATCGACCCCGAGGCTCACAGCCGCAGCAGAATGTGAGTAACGGCGGCAGCAGGATGTGAGTCATGGCGGCAGTTGCACAAGAATCAGAGTTACAGTGGAGTGTGCGTCACAGCAGAAGCATAAAGCGAGGTCTATTGGGGCGTGTATATGAGTGTGATGCGCCACCGTGCGAGCTGTTGCTGCAGCTCAATGTGATTCTTCTTTCTTTAGCCTTGAAGCGCCCTGTGCACCTAATTCCTAACGGTCGCCCTGTCACATTCGGTATGTTGTCACATTCCATGTGACAACATACCGACCACCCTGTCGCCCCCTCTGCACCAGGTCGTTCTACTCGGGCGTGACCATCCACACAAGAAGCACAGTGCCACGCCTTTGTAACGCCTCTGCTCTCTCCCGCCCCATTGCACCGGCCCCATTGCACCCACCCCTCTGCACCCACCCCATTGCCCCGTCTCTGCACGCCCAGGTCGTTCTACACGGGAGTGACCATCCACAGGGTGAACGACGACGACACACTCGGGGACGCGGTGGACATCACAGGGCTGCCGCCTAACAGCAAGATCAACTTCCTCTCCTGGTGAGACCAGGGCGGGTAGTCAGGGGTAGGGCTGTGACCTTCATGAGGAGTGATTGTATGCTTTCTGTTCATTCACTTCCTCTCTGCAAGGTTACGGGAGTCCGGGATTGGCGCATTGA